TAAAGTTATGGTATCTCAAATTTAAGGTTACGAATAAATAATGTCCTAACTTTCAATAATCTCTTGCTCGGTCATGCACGTTGAAGCTATTTAGTTAACCTAAAGGGCTTCTTAATTGAGCTTCTTGCTAATATCTTGAAGGTTTTAAAACATTAACTAAAATGGTTTATGTAATTTTCTAAAAGGGAGTTGGTGTTTTTGAAATTGTTAGAAAATTCATGAGAGGTTTGTATGATTTTCCCTTTTCATTTTGAAATTTATAGTTCTAAAATTAAACTTTGTTGCATCCAAAGTTTCACTTATCTACTAACTTTTATTTGAGCCTAAGGAATAAACACTGACATGCTCGACAAGGCAACTAGATAATATTAAATGGTACCATGAACAACGTCTATGTATTACATTGAACACACTCATATTTCATAGAGAGAGCATCATTGATTGCCGTAGATCAAAAAAAGAATTTGATATAAATGATATTCAACTCAAAAGTTATGGTATCTCGAATTTAAGGTAGCATGTAAGTAATGCCATTATTTGCAATGATCTCTTGCTCGATCAAGAAAGATGAAGATAATCAGGAAACATAGATGGGCTTGTTAATCAAGCTTCTTGTTGAAACTCTAAAATATTGGTCTAGTAAGCTATGTTGTCGTAGATGTGAGGCACCTGCTAAGCTTCTCGAGCTCATTATCGACGTAGGTTTGATTAATTTCCAAGCATGAGCATTGAAATTAAGGGTGACAATAATTCAGTTTTCCATCAAAATCTATGATCCAAATCGGGTATTTGATACCACCTTTTCTTTTTGGCCGCAAAATATGAATTCACTATATTCTAAATGTGAAAATCGTGGCTCAAATTTATGTATAGATGCATGTATATATCAAAATTGAAATAGAAAGAACAATGAATTTACTGTAATGGTAGTATTTGAGAGAGAAAAGGTGTAACTGTGTGAGCAAAATGGCGTTCTCTTTCATCAATTTATCATTTTGTCTTAATTGTTTGAGATATGGTCAAATGACTCGAATCTATTGAACGTGACGCGAATCTAGTATGAAGAGCATGAGACTACTATATATAGACTCACCTCATGTGGGGCCCTTGCAAACTGCATTGTGTTTTTACATATATGCTTACCACTTTGTTTGATAAGCCAAAACGTGATTATGTCTTATGTTACTTGTCTAATTTAGGCCACTAAGGTAGTAAGATTGTGAGTCTGACCTAAGCCCAATCCAAATTGACCCAAGGTTGATTGATTTGGGTAGAAAAATATTCAACTTGAATTATTGAGTTCAGCTTTGGGTTGAACATTATTCATCTTCAATTGTTCAGTTCGGCTTTAGGTTCGATAGGTTTTCAATCCAACCTAAGCCCACCCTTAATAGGAGCAAAAATATTTTTGTATTATATGGAACACGCTCATATTCTATAAAGAAATAATCATTGATCTTTGTTGATCAAAGAAAAATTTGATATAAATGTAATATATCGACTCTAAAGTTATGGTATCTTGAATTTATGGTCACATGTAAATAATGCCTTAATTTGCAATGATCTCTTGCTCGGTCAAGAAAGATGAAGCTAGTAAGGAAACATGATGAGCTTATTTAATCGAGCTTCTTGTTGAAACTCTGAAGCTCGATCTAGTAAGCTATGTTGTCATAGATTTTAGACAGCTACTAAGCCTCTCAAGCTCATTGGAGATGAAAACTTGAGTAATTTCCAAGCCCGAGCAACGAAATTAAAGGTGACAATAATTCAGTTTATCATCAAAATTTATGATCTGAATTGGGTATTTGATACCACCTTTTCTTTTTGGCCATACAATGCATATTTACTTTATTCTAAATGTCAAAATCATGGCTCAAATTTATGTGTATATGCATGTATATATCAAAATTGGAATGCAAAGAGCAATGGATTTTCTGTAATGGTAGAATTTTAGAGAGAAAAGATGTGACTGTGTGAGACGAATGAGTTAGCAAAATAGCGTTCTCTCTCATCAATTTGTCATTTTGTCTTAAGTGTTTGAGATATGGTCAAACAACTCAAATCTATTGAAAGTTACACGAGTCTAGGATGAAGAGTGTGAGACTAGTATCGCCTAATGTGGGGCCCCTTGCAAACTGCATCGTGTTTTTACTTATACGCTTACCAATTTGTTTGACAAGTCAAAATGTGATTATGTCTTATGAGACTTGCCTAACTTAGGCCGCTAAGGTAGCAAGATTTTGAGTCTGACCCAAGCCCAATCCAAACTGACCCAAGATTTATTGATTTGGGTTGGTTCAATGTTGAACCAAATCTTAGGGTTTTGGTAGAAAAATATTCAACTTGAAATGTTCAATTCAGCTTCGGGTTGGATTGAAAACTTATCCAACCCAAGCCCACTTGAGCATAAATATTTTTGTATTATATGGAACGCGCCCATATTCTATAAAGAGATCTTAGTAGATCAAAGGAAAAATTGATATAATTGTGATTTATCACCCTCTAAAGTTATGGTATCTTGAATTAAGGTAACACGTAAATGATGTCTTAATTTTCAATTATTTCTTGCCCGATCAAGAAAGATAAAGCTAGTAAGGAATCATAAGGAGTTTGTTAATCGAGCTTCTTGCTGAAATCTGAAGCTTGATCTAGTAAGCTATGTTGTCATTGATTTTAGACAGCTGCTAAGCCTCTCGAGCTCATTGGAGAGGAAGATTTGAGTAATTTTCTAAGCCCGAGCATTGAAATGGAGAGTGACAATAATTTAGTTTATAATCAAAATCTATGATCTGAATTAGGTATTTGATACCACCTTTTCTTTTTGGCTACACAATGCGTATTCACTTTATTTTAAATGTCAAAATTATGGCTCAAATTTATGTGTATATGTATGTATATATCGAAATTGGAATGCAAAGAGCAATGGATTTTCTGTAATGGTAGAATTTTAAAGAGAAAATGTGTGACTGTATGAGACGAATGAGAAAGCAAAATGGCGTTCTCTCTCATCAATTTATCATTTTGTCTTAAGTGTTTGAGATATGGTCAAATGACTCGAATCAATTCAACGTGGCGCGAGTCTAGTATGAAGAAAGTGAGACTAGTATATATAGACTTGCCTTATGTGGGGCCCTTGCAAACTGCATCGTGTTTTACGTATATGCTTACCACTTTGTTCGATAAGCCAAAATGTGATTATGGGGGTGTTTGACACCCATTTTTGTGGGAAAATGTGTTTTTGAATAGTGATTAATGGAAGAATGTGTGGTTAAAAAGTAAGGAGAATTTTTAGGTTTATGTGTAATATTATTTTATTGATAGAATGTGTAGTTGAAATGAAGAAATAGAAAAATAATGAGAATGAGAATAAGAAAAAAATGGGTGCCAAACGGGGGCTATATCTTATGTGACTTGTCTAACTTAGGTCACCAACGTAGCAAAATTGTGAGTCTGGTCCAACCCCAATCCAATCTGACCCAAGATTGATTGATTGATTTGGGTTGGTTTAGTTTTGCACCAAATTTTGGGTTGCTTTGGATTGAAAAACACTTGAATTGTTCAGTTTAGCTTTGTTTTGAAAATTATTCATCTTCAATTGTTCAATTCGGCTTTTGGGTTGGACTGAGAACCTATCCAACCCAAGCCCACCCTTAATTAGAGATCATATAGATTTAGTTATTATTATGATATATTGATGTTAAAATTATGGTATCTCGAATTTAAGGTTGGGTGTAAGTAATGGCTTAACTTGCAATTAAGGGTGACCATTATTTAGTTGCTTGTCAAAATCTGTTCTCAGCTACAACGTACTCCATTAAGGCTCTAGTGCCCCTCAATATTGTGAAATGTGCCTTTTCGTGGTCGGCTGGAGACTTTAAGGCTCGAAGTGGTTGTCATGTATCATTTTGTTCCATACACCAAAACTCGGATCATAGTTACTTAGTAATATATCTCGGACTGTCATGTGAAATAAAAGTGAAGAAAGTTCGTGTGGGTATTTCAAGCATTACTACTAGTATTTATACTAGCATATGAAATAAAAGTTATAAAGAGAGGTATGTGTTATTTAAAACATAATTATTAGATCCCATAGGGACATAGACCTGGTCAAGGTACTGGGTCATGGGTTACTGGTCGAATCGGTGGGTTAGTGGTTGGACCGATGGGTCGATACTTAAAAATTCTAAAAGGTTTTTAAAGTATAAAATTTTCTTTAAAATAAAATGAAAGTTTTTGAATTATTTGTTATTAATTATTTATATTTTTTAGATTATTTTGCTAAACATTGAATTCATTTTAATTAAAATTAGGACTATAAATTTTTTAAAACAATATTTTTAACAAACTATATATATATATTATTGCAAAAGGATAACAATAAACTATTGGGCTCTAGCGGTTGGCTACTACTTAGTTTACTTTAAGGTTCAAATCTTTTGAACACAACAAATGAAAGGAAAAAATTTTGAAATTTTGTCAAACTAATCAATCGGATCGGTTTAATATAAAAATCGCCAATTAACTCGTTCAACCATCAGGTCTACTCTGTCAAACTCGGATTTTGACCGAGTGATTTGTATTTCTATCAAATTGTTCAACCCGGCCAAGTCAGCAGCACGGGTTGCGATTTTCCCGGGCCACGTTTAAGCTTTGCAAACATGCTCTATACTAAACCCTGCAGCATGCCTACCATATTTCAGCTTCATTCACCACAAGAAATTTTGATCAATCAAATACCCTTCAATTATTGTTTCTCCTGCAAATTATTTCTTTCCAAAGTAGCTCCATAACCTCCTAAATCCAAGAAATAAATTCATTCACAGAAAGTTGCATGCAGAAATCTGATGCTAAATAGCCTGTAATGACGATAAATATTTACTATTGGCATCACTTTGCTGGCTCAAACACCATTTTCTTGTTCACCATCATTTTTGTTCTCCTCAATATCTCAAACCCCCGTCAGATATTGGCTTCGACTGGCAGTCGTCCTGCTGGCATTGATGATATCCTCATTGATCAAAGACGAAGGGCTTTGTCCTACAATGGAGACTCTTGCAATCAACCCGTCCCTCAAATTTGAGAACCCAAGATTACAGAATGCTTACATTGCACTACAAGCTTGGAAGGAAGCCATAATATCTGATCCAAAAAACATAACGGGCAACTGGATCGGACATAGAGTGTGTAATTACACCGGTGTGTTTTGTTGGCCTGCACCCGATGATCCCTCTGAACGCACGGTTGCTGGTATAGATATCAAACATGCTGACATTTCCGGGAACCTTCCACATGAACTGGGGCTTCTCCATAACATTACCCTGTTTCACATAAACTCTAACAGATTCTGTGGAGTGATTCCGCAGAGTTTCTTGAATCTGAGGCTCCTCTATGAGGTTGATCTTAGCAACAATCACTTTGCAGGCAAATTTCCTGAAATTCTCCTGCAATTGCCAAGTTTAAAGTATCTGGACATTCCATTCAACGAATATGAAGGTGAAATTCCCAGGGAAATATTTGAAAGAGAATTTGATGCCATTTTTATCAATAACAATAGATTTTCTTCTGAATTGCCCGACAACATCGGCAAGTCAACAGTGTCTGTAATTGTTCTAGCTAACAATGAGTTTCAAGGATGCTTGCCAGCAAGTTTAGGGAATATGGCAGGAAGATTAAATGAATTGATTTTTACAAATAATGGGCTCAGTTCATGCTTTCCTAGTGAAATTGGAAAGCTAAAGAATTTGACTGTGTTGGATCTTAGCCATAACCAAATTATGGGTTCATTAACTGAAAGTATTGGGAATATGGTAAACTTGGAGCAGCTGAATTTGGCTCATAATATGTTGTCCGGGAAGATATCCAATGCGATATGTTCACTTCCAAAGTTAAAGAATTTCGGGTATGAGTACAATTTTTTCTCAGATGAAGTACCAGATTGTTTGAAGCTGCCCGAATTTAACGACAGAAGGAATTGTTTTAGAGGGAGACCGGAGCAAAGATCCATGTTGCAGTGTCAAAGGTTCTTATCTCGGAAGATTAGTTGTGGCAGTTTTGAATGTGCTACACTTCCACCGCCATGTTCATTATCTCCACCACCGCCGATTTATTCCCCTCCTCACCCCTCACCGCCGTCAGCAGCTTCACCTCCACCTCAACATATACCTTCCCCACCACCTCCTTTCCCAGCCCCACCATCTTTGGCACCCCCA